CCCCTCTTCGGGGCTCGCCGTGCCCACCTCGGGCTTCTCAATACTGCCCCACTCTGGGGCTGGGGTCTATGTACCCCATATACAACCCGGGGTCTGTTCCCCGCCCGCAACCCACTGGTTGCGCTCAGGGGCCCCACACCTCTGGGGTCCCTATGAGGCCTCCTCCAAGCCCTACAGCCTCACCCAAGCCTCCGGTGTAATATGCAAGCCTGAACATAAACTAGAGCCTCCTGGCTAAACCATAGTGCCCAATCCTCTCAGGGCTATAGTGAGCTATACTTGCAAGTCAGGCTTCTTGCTATATCTCGGCCAAGGGAGCTCCTGCCCTTCCGTTTGCTGGCAGGGAACTGCCCGCCTGGTCTCAGCCCTGGGCTTTATAAGGGCCAGGCCCTGCCTCCTACAGGCAGCTGGCTCTCCTTAGTTGCCCCAGCGACCCGCAGCTGGGCTCGTTACCCTGGCAACACTCAGCTGGGCTCGTTATGACCTGCCAGGGCTCTCTCTCTCTCCCTGGCAGTTTCTCCCCTCTAGGAGCAGAGCACCGGGGTGCTCTGCGACAGTGCTAAACATAGTATAAAGGATGGATATATATCAAAATACACATGGACTGATCACTGGGGGCACAAAAGTGATTACATTTTTGTGGTTCTTACAATTTTCTTTCTTTTGCTGAGGGGAAGGAGCTTTATGCATTAACACCAAATGTGGTAATGAAATTGGTCTTCCAGTCACTAAGGGTAAGCTTACACTTGGAATGTAGTTCAGTGTATAGCTCCATGGCCTAGCCTGGACACCAGAAGCAGCACAGAGTAACTTGTGCAGAACTTGTGGCTACTCTGCTTCTGGTAGTTTGCACATTTTTTAGTAATAACTTTATAGTTGGTTGGACCTTCTTAAGGGGCCATAGTTCATTTGCATGTGTATCCAGTCTAAAGTTATTGCACAATTAACCTGATAATTGCATAATAGATATAATGTGTAGAAGGGGCCTAAAATACATCTCCATATCAGTGCTGTTGTACACTTTTAAAAAAGAAAACCACAATCATCCTTTAATGACCTACATCATCTCTTTCGTCATCTAAATGAATCTGTCTGTGTTGCCTGTAAACTGTGCCCCCTAAAGTGCAGTTGCTTAGAAAAAGATAATGAATGATAAATTAACTCTTTACATAAACTCCTAAATAAAGCAGCATTTCCCACCCTTCTAAAAGATGGCGGGGAGGGGGAGGAACAAGCACAAATAGATTAAAAATAGGTTGGACTGTGATTCTGAAAAGACTTCATGAAAATGCTTTGTTCTTAAACTCAATAGGACCACTCATACTGTGAAAGTTAATAACGTGGAAATCTTTAAAGGCAGCCACTGTTAAAATTAAAGGGGGTGTTTGAAAATCTTACCCTTAACAACGGAAGGACTCAAATCCCTGAGCTGCAGGTCATGGCTCAAAGCTCCCTAAGCATTTCCAGAAAGGAAAACCTACAGAATCTCAAGCGAAAAAGGTCCTTCATCTGTGAGAATCTATGGCTGTGCTCTGTGGGGGATGGTGCTGCAATAAGCAGGTGGGGATAATTAGAGCGTTTGGCGTGATGGTGCTACAGTAAGCAGGTGGGGATAATTAGAGCGTTTGGCCACCTGGAATAAATCAGCACTGAGGGAGTTGGTGTTTTGAACGTGTTCCAGATGTCCTAAGGTGGCAAAAGATATATGTTCTGATTTTAACTAACCTGATCCTGTTCCAAATTGGAACTGTACAAGAACATGACCTCTTACATGATTGCAGACCCCACCTTTGCAATGCAAGTAGGCTGTGATCAAGGAGCCTTTAATTACAGAAATGAAACAGATGGCAAAAATAGCCTGCACACCAGCTTACATTTTTAAAAAGATACAACTAACAAGACATGCATTTCACATTTTTGGCTAGGTCTTCTGATTAACAGAGTAGGACTTAGGGCTTCTCAACCTTTTTAAACTCAAGGTACCTCTCAAAAATGTCAGCTTAGTTTTTGTTCATTTTTTACTACAGAAAAACAATACAGCAATGTTTCTATTACAAAGAACTCAGAAAGACTACAAAGCAGAATTTTTATAACACTATGGATTTTTATATGAAGTCATTAGGTTTGTCTTGTGAATCCCGTTTGCATACACAACAGTGCTACTGTCACAGGGTGCTATTGGACCTGACAGCTCTTCATTCTCAGGCTCTAATTTTTCCCTTGCTCCTGTATGTTTCACCTGCTGTGCTTGATGAAACTAAGGGAGGCTGGAGAAAAGCTATGTCCTGGGAGCACTTTCCAGGTATGATTTCCTTTTCAGTCCTAAGTTCTTTTACTGGAGCTGTCTTTCACTGTGCACAGAGTATATTCTGTCCAGGGCTCCTCCACCCCTACACCCTGGTCCATCTCTCACCCGTTGATCTTAATGATATTGACTGTCATGTCGGGAGTATAAATCCATCTCTCTCCCTAATACATTCCCAGTAGGTCATAATCAGAGTCAGTTCATTTGCACACCACCAAAAATAATATAAACTACAAAAAATAGTACAATCTCAAGTGTGCCAACTTGTATCTTCAGTAATCCTTCTGTCTATATGGACCCTCTTACCTCAGAGGAATCTCGTTAATTCCCCTTGTTACTCAGTCTATGGGGCTTCAGGGTGACCTCCACCCAATAGCCACTGGATAGGGTGTTCCCTTTATTCCGCCTCCTCACCTAAATCACAGGCTGTGTCATACGAGTCTCTCCAGCCTGTCAAATTTGCAGACCTTTCCACCTCATCCAGCAATTGGCCTGATGTGTCTTATTACTACAAGCAGTAGCTCCGCAAACCATGGACACTGCCTCAGTTATGACCCATACAGTTCTCTTCCCCCCTACCCTGTTACCAAATAGGGCTCTAATCCCAATTAACGTGAATAGTTCCCCCTCCTGGCATCAGGTTCTCAATATTACTCACAGTTTCTTCTGGTTTCTGTTCATCTCTTGTTTCCTGCAGGTCACTGGATACCTGGGAGCTCTGTGTTCAGCAAAAAGAGCCCCACGACTTCCTGTAGCTCACTGCCGGCGCTCTGGTGCTTCCCCCAAACTTCATTTCCCCACGCCTCTGCTCCAACACCTGGTAAGTCTTTGTTCCTGGTTCTTGCCCCCTTTCCAGGGGAGAGCAATATACCTTAGTGTCAGCAATATTTCGGTCTCCCCCTGGCCTGGAACTCCATAGGCCTTTTAAGCTTCTGCTTTCCTCCACCAGCCTTGGAAAATGCTGGTTTTAAAGAGACCACGCCCACAGCAGTGAGGTCTTGCCGCAGCATTTCTGGTCCTGGCTTGTTAGGGAGGACGAGTGTAGCAAGGTCAAGACCCAGCTCCCTGCAGAAGCTATCATTGCATGGCATTCTGCACTACCCTTGAAAGGATTTCAATATACCCCAGGATGCTGCAGCACCTTGGTTGAGAATCCCTCGGTGCCTCTACATGTGCCTCTTTTAAGTTGGTTTAGCTTAAAATAGCCATTTTTAAGGCACATTATGGGTGTGTATCTACATGTGCATGCCCTTAATGAGCCTTAAAAATGGTGATTTAAGGCTATATGGACATTTATACATGTACCCTTTGTCCTGTGACACACCAAAGATCCACCACTTCGGAGCAGACTCAATTAATCAAGTCTGCTCTGTATGTGAACTGACACACACTGTTCTGCGCCACGGGCCGTTGTATAAGTGGTGAAATGTGTGTCAGCACGCAGAAAATGGTGGTCGTGCACTTTTGACCTAAAGCACCTCTGAGGTGTTTCAGTTCAAAAGTGCACCAACGCCATTTTCTTTGCGCTGACGCACATTTCGCTGCTTATATAACTGTATGTCTTGCAGCGTTGTGTGCTTTTCAAACTGCCCGACGTTGCGGTGCTTGCACATGTCAAAAAGCCCCATGAGCCTAAATTTTATACCTTCATAAAGCAGGTATCAAATTTAAGCATGACTAGTTAAGTTGCGTTAGCACATGTGTGGATATGGTAATGCACATTAATACAGTAAGCGTCAATGGACACACACAGCATTAATGCACATTAGTGTGTCTGCATGTACACTAATGCGACTTAGCTATTCGCACCTAAATGTAATGTGCCATAATGTGCACCTAAACCGCCTTAATGCACCTTAAGTAAAGGTGTATTAAATTTAGGCATGGATAATACATGTGTAGACACGCCCACTGATTTAGGAGAGCTGGTATCTATTCCCAGCTCTGCCACAGACTTGCTGTGTGATATTGGGCAAGATCAGGACCTCTGGGTTTCCATTCCCCATCTGTAAATAGGAGACAGTGATATTTCTGTTATCTATGGGACTATTTGGATAGTGAATGTTGCTTATCATGTATTTGTTCAACATCTAGTAGAGTGGGCTCATTTTCATTAGGGCCATGCATTGCTATCACAATACAAATGAATGAGGGGATTCCTGGCACCTAAACCTGGTGAGCCTGTGAAGCTCACCATCTCAACCAAAAGACCTGATCTGCCCATACAATACAGCTGGGCAAGGTGTTGCTTAGTTTAAAAGTCCCTTGACTTTTTTATACATTGATTTTAAGAGAGGGAAGTAACCCCCAAAATGTCTATTGCCATTTCAGACAACTGTCCTGCAAGTCAGTGCTTTGCTAGAAATTGTGCACTGTATCATCGTCATTCAGAACAGTATTCTGAATAGTAATACTTTATGTATTATTAATTTTTTATCTTTGTCCTTGATAATGTAACAATGTTATTACTACTAACATGATGACGGCGGTAATAATAATATCATAGTTCCCTGCTTTTCCTCAGCACAAGCCCCACTGCCGGATTCTGGCCGCCCCCCCGCTTGCGCGGAACACGTGCCTTCGCTCCTACGCCAGGGTCCCGGGCCCCGCCCCCGCCCCACCCAGGTACCCCACGCATGCGCACGAGAGTCAGCGCCTTCCCCTTTCTTCCCCTCCCCAAGAGTTCCAACCAATCAGTGCACCAAGAGGACTCACGCCTACCAATGGGAGAACACGCCCCACTCCCCGCGCTAATCGACTCCTCGGCCATTGACTGCAGAGCGGAGGACGCGGGGGTTCGGGTGTGACCGCCCCCGTACCACATGACCGCTGCGACTCCCTATTGGCCAATGAGGGCACTGAGGGAGGATGGGGGACAGGGGGGAAGAGGGGTGTGCCTCTCCATATCACATGACCGCCGCGACTCCCTAATGGCCAATGAGGATGCGAGGAGAGAGGTGCCTTCCTCTGGTCACGTGATCCCTGCGGGTCCCTATTGGCCAATGAAGGCACAGAGGCAAGGATGCTTTGGGAGTATGTGCCCGCTCCCTGATCACGTGACCCCCTGTTCGGCTTCAGGGCCCTGTGGCCCACTTCCGCTTCCACCCTGGAAGTGCAAGGTGGTGGGGTGCTGCTGCCGGCTCCTCAGGTACTGCGGCCTGCGGCGGTTCCCAGGCGCCGCTCCCCCGGCCCCGCCGCCATGCACCCGCGGCGCCCCGACGGCTTCGACGGGCTGAGCTACCGCGGCGGCGGGCGCGATGAGACGGGAGCCGCCAGGTCCTTCAGCGCCTCCTCGGAGCCGAGCCACTGGGTAAGCACCCCCCCTGGCACACCGGGGA